GCTCAATACAATATCTAATACACAGCAGCACTTCAGGAGTATCGGCTCCCCCATCGCTCCGCCTGGATACTCCGGGGGAGAGCCGTGGGGGAGGAGGGGGTCGTGGGGAGGGGAGGGGATCCCCTTCCTCCTCCTCCTCCTCCTCCTCCTCCTCCTCTCTCTCCATTTCCTGTATTGGTGAGTGGACCTCCACCAATACAACCGAGGATGGTCCTTCTATACTTGGTAAACATTGGATTAGCTTTCCATTGACCAGAGCTCTTGAGAAGACCCTGGCTTGTGTATTTTCCCCCCAAACACATCCTCACACCAGGTCTGAGCTAAGCCCAACAGTCAATAGGTAATGAAGGAGCTGAAAGGCCTGGCTGAGGAAGGAGAAAGCAAAGCCACTCATTACCCTCAGGTTGCTTCCTTCTGGCTAAACACTTTGGGAAAGGAAGGCTGCTTCAAGGAGAAGGGAAGGCGAGCAAGGAAGGAGCAAAGGGAGCCAGGACCCCAATTCGCTTTCCTAAGGAAGCGAGGAGGAGCCCAAGTCTCCCAAAACCGAGGAGAGGCAGAACATCCAGCCAAAGGCAGGCACAGAAGGGCTAGACATAGACATTTGGACACAAATCTGCCTGCTTCCTGGGCATCATCACTTGATCATGTCTGGACTGCTTCTGGATTCTCTCTATCCCTGCTTTTGTCTCTCTTTTCTCTATGACAGGCTGGATCCACACTGTCCTATATCCCACGATCTTATCCCAGAATATCTGGTAGTGTAGACTCATATAATCCAGTTCAAATCTGGGATAAAATCCTAGGACTTACATCAGTGTAGATCTAGCCTAAGATGCTGATTGACTATAACGCTCAGGGCCCTTTCAAACAGGCCCTATATCTCAGGATCTGATCCTAGGTTTTCTGTTTATCCCAGAATATCTGATAGTGCGGACTCATATAATCCAGTTTATAGCGGAAAACCCAGGATCCGATTTTAGGATATAAGGCCTGCCTGGAGTTGTGGTGGTGAAAAGAAATGGCAGCAAAAGGTTTTTGAATCTATACATTTGCACACATTACCAACAACATGCAGTGTTTCATTTGCAGAAAATGCTTCAGCTGTACTTCATACAAGAGGGGGAAACTGCCTGGTTCACTAGCTGGTTTGTTATCAGTACAGGCTTGATTTGTATTATACCTATATATTGGAACCCTCCCTGAAAATAACAAAGATGTATTGTCCAATGCTTTCATGGCCGGAATCACTGGGTTGTGGTAGGTTTTTTGGGCTGTATAGCCATGTTCTTGAAGCATTCTCTCCTGACGTTTCGCCTGCATCTATGGCAGGCAACCTCAGAGGTTGTGAGACCTCACAACCTCTGAGGATGCCTGCCATAGATGCAGGCGAAACATCAGGAGAGAATGCTTCTAGAACATAGTCATACAGCCCGAAAAACCTACAACAACCCATAACAAAGATGGAGTGATAATTTGGAATGATTCAGATTTATACATCTTCCCTAGAGCAGTGCTTCTTCAACTTCTCCACTCCTGAACCCCTTTGACCTAAGAAGTTTTTAGGTGACCCCAAGGTGTATAAAATAGATATAAAAAGCAAACATTTACTGATGACAAGTCAGCCTTCCCACTGGTTTTGCCTTTTATGTGAAGTACAGCTGAAGCAGTTGCAGTGTACTGTAACCACTGCTTAGTGTTGCTGGTGCCAAATGAGTGGCGTTCAGAAACCTTTTCCTCTTGTTAAATTTTATGACCCTCATTTTTGTGAGAAAGGGACCCCATTTGAGGTTAGGATCCACCCTCGAAGAAGAGAGAACTTCCTGCAGTTTTTTGGGATTTTTCTGGTGAGGTGCCAGCAATGATATGCTTGACAGTCTCTGCCTCAACTGCCTGGTCCAGACCTGCCTAACACGACGTCTCCTCGCGAATTAGACTTGGCTCTCTTTCACTGTGTGTCCAGAGAAATAAAAAAGGAACAGACAGTTATGAGAGAAGGAGGGAATCAACCCTAACTTTTCAAGACTCCAATTTCATGTCCTGTGGAACCACAGACACGTTTTTCAGCCGAAAGAGGCCCTCAAAAAAGAGAGAGGGAAGATCTCCCTCTCTTCAACCTCAGCTTTCTCCTCCTCCTCCTCCTCCTCCTCTCTCTCTCTCTTTCTTTTCCAGAATAGATATAGCACGAATTTTTAATTCGTCCTCCTTTCACAGACAACAATACCGGTTTTGAAAGGCGGATACAATTTGGGTTTTGTGAAGGTCTCTCTCTCTGCCCTCTCCGGGCCCAGCTGTCCATATGGAAGACGGCACGGACAACGTGGCGCACAAAGGCACCAACTGACAGGCGGAACAAAAACACCGAGGTACTTCCCCCGACGAGGACAGGACGACTCAGGGATGCGCCGCTCCTTCCACAGACACGCCGAGTGATGAATTGCCCCGAAAGAAGGCCCAGAAGAAAGAGGAGGAGGAGGAGGAGGAAGGGAAAGAGGAGGAGGAGGACCAAAGGAGCCTCTCTCTCTCTCCCCCCCCCCTCTGTTTCCCTTTCCCTCCCTCCCCGTCCCTTCTGTGGCGCTTTCTTTTCTGCCCCCGACTTAATATGCACGCCTCTAACATCCTCAACTCCCAGCCTCCTCCATTGTGCCGTTTTGTGATGGGTACTGTATATTGTGCAAAGATAGACTCCCCCAAACTCCCTCGGCGCCCCCGGCGGCGTGTGAAATGGGAGGCCACGGGGGGCGAGGGCCACACAAGACTCCGCCGCCTTGATAGACTCAGGGGAAGGCGCCTCAGTGTTGAGGAAAGGGGGAGGGTGGGGTGGCCCTAGACCTGGACGCATCTCCACCAGCCTGGAGGGAGCTGGGCCCCAGGAAAGGAAGGGCACCGCCAGCTCAGGCTTCGGAGGTCGGTCTGGAAAGCCTCCATAGAAAACGCACTAGGGAGGGACCCTTCGCTTCTCTTCTCGGGAGGCGGGGGGGCTGGGGTCTCGAGCCTCCCTGACCTTGGCCGCCAATGAACTACGGAGACACCCCCCCTAGCTGAATTGCGGCGGATTCCGAGTGGGTCTCTTCCTTAACAACACTATCGTCCTCTTAATAAACATTACTTGTGAAGTTTAGCTGACTAGTGTTTGCTCCTTGAAGCTGTGGGTTTTTCTCTGGGAGGGTGACGGCTTCTAGGCCTGTGGCGTGGGCCGGAGGAGGATCAAGTGGGGACGGTTTGAAGACAAGACCAGGGAGACATCCCCGGCTGGTCGTTCACACGTCCTTCCCGCAACTCACGACCCTGAAGAGGGCCTGGGAGTTGCCCAAATCCCTCTAGCCATCTCCCGAACCCAATCCTAGTGAGCCCAGTGTGGAGGCGACTTCCCTCCAATGCCTTTCCCAGGGTCCCGAGGCTTGGAAGTGGGAAAAGGGGGAAGAAGAGAGCGGGGAGGCTGGCTTAAAGCTCGTTCGCTGCATTAAGTCCCACTTTGCAGGGCACCCGGTTGAGAAAGTGGAGGCCACAAGGCTTTGGGATCCCTATCGAAGGGGTTCTCTCTCCCACATTTCGGTAAGGAGACGGCGGAGAGAAATGGAAGGCGCGTTTTCCATTTGTAATTCTTCTCTCAAGTAGATCAACTTGAGCAGGAAGAAGACAGAAAGGCCGAGGACAAATGCAGTGAGGGGAAAGAAGAAAGGAAAGGCTGGAAAGGCGAGGCCCTCGACTTCTGGCCCAGCACTACCTCGGTTTGAAGCCGACGCTCTATCTTCTCCCCTCTGTCTCCAAAAGGACTCAGATCCCGTTCCTTTCCTTCCTTCCACGGAATCCTAACAGAGTCAAGGCTTGTCCGTACAAACACAAACAGACGCCTTCCGGAAAGGACATCTTTACCGCTGAGTTAAGTGTGGGGTTTAAAACAATACCATCGCAGTTTCACGCAACACACACATATACATATATCCACTTTTAAAAGAGATCAAACAATTCCTAAAATCGGTGGGTTGCCGTGAGTTTTCCGGGCTGTGTGGCCATGTTCCAGAAGCATTTTCTCCTGACGTTTCGCCCACATCTATGGCAAGCATCCTCACAGGTGGTGAGGTATATTTTGTGAGCAATATGGATGAGGATGCTTGCCATAGATGTGGGCGAAACGTCAGGAGAGAATGCTTCTGGAACATGGTTATACAGCCCGGAAAACTCACAGCAACCCAGTGATTCCGGCCACGAAAATCTTCGACAACACGACAGCACATATTCCTAAAATCCCTCTTCTCCTCGACCTGCATATCTCAATGGATAACATCATGAAATGTTGTCTATCCATCACACCAGAAAATCCGGTTTCTGCCTCCTGCGATATTCCGGGGGTTTGCAGTTTAGTGCGGCTATTAAAGGCTCCTTCCCAAACTACAAACCCCCAGAATTCTGCAGGCGGCAGAAACCGGATTTAAAGTGGATCCATTCTCTAGTGTGGTGAGGGAGTGTGTGCTCCGTTTGCGCTTCTGTTGTATTCGGGAGGAATAAAACCGAAACAAACCAAAAAATAATAAAGTTCGCCTTGGAAGGACATCTATTTATAGAGAAAAATAATAAAAAAGGAATGGTAACAGAGGTCGAAATTTTAGACGCATGTAATGTCATTAAAGCTCAGTTTCCCCGCATTAAAACAACAACAACAATAGCAGCAGCAACAACAACATTTCGTTGGGCATCTTCATAATCACCCGAAAATCCTGGGCAAAAATCACAAGAGCTTGAGTTTTGGATTCTTTTTTATTCTTATGTCTTCTTATTTAAAATGTGTACTCGTGGGTAAGCCAGGGCCCCTGGCAAGGGCGCAACCCCCTCCTCCTCCCCCCTCCCCTTGTAAACATGGTGCACAAAAGAATGGAAACGGACCCCCCCCCCACCCCTAAAAGAAGGAGCCCCCCCTCCCTGGCGACGCCGTCCCCTCCCGGACCCGAGTCCGTCCAAGCCCGCCCCCCAACAATCCCCGGCACGGGACCCCGCGGCTCCTTCGTGGGCTCGGCGGCGGGGCCCAACCATTGCCAACCAGTCTCTGGGCGCCCCCTCCATCCCGCCGTCCCTCCTTCCTTCCTTCCTTCACCAAGTCCACTGCTGGGCCTGTACCAAGTGGTGGGCGGAGGGGTACTGCGGGGCGCCGGCCGAGCCGTACTGGGCGCTGTACTGCATGTGCTGCTGGAGCGACTGGGCGCCGTAGGCGGAGAAGGAGAGGCCGGCCGGGAAGGAGGCGGCGGCGGCGGCGGCGGCCAAGTCCTGGGCCTTGAGCGCGTGGCAGGGCTTGCCGTCCCGGACCAGGACGGGCACGGCCACGCGGCGCGGGGAGGGGAGAGGAGTCACTTCCATACCTTTCTCGGCCCGGGCCCGCTTCATCTTGTAGCGGTGGTTCTGGAACCAGATCTTGACCTGCGTGGGCGTCAGCCGGATCAGGCTGGCCAGGTGCTCCCGCTCCGGCGCCGAGAGGTAGCGCTGCTGCCGGAACCGCCGCTCCAGCTCGTAAGTCTGCGCCTTGGAGAAGAGCACCCGCCGCTTGCGCTTCTTGCCCGAGTCGCCCCCGCCGCCGCCGCCCCCCACGCCGCCCGAGCCCTCCTTCTCGTTGTCCGGGGACTCGTCCGCCGAGGGCTCCGGGGACTTGGACGCCGAGTCCGGCTGGGAGTTGCTGGAGGCCAAGCCGTGCACTGCGGGGGGGGGGGGGGGGGGGGGGCCGGAAGGGAGGGAGGTATGGGGGGAGTTGAAAGGGAGTTGGGGAGGGGGGGGGGGGGGGGGGGGGGGGAAGGGGCCACAGAGAAGGAAAGCAGCGCGTCAGGAGAAAGCCAAGAGAGCCCAGGGCAAGACCTTCGCCCGGCACAGACCCAGCCCCACATACGCTCCCATAGAAAATGCATTGCATGATTCTCAACTGGCATATAATTCAACCCAATGATATACTTTCCGGTCTCCTTTTGCAGAGAAGGGAGAGGGTCAGGAGAAAGGGAAGTCAACCCATTGCAAGCCCCTCGCCTGGGATATACTGCATTGCATGAGTCCACATTGGCATATAATTTAACCCAATGTTGTACTTTCTGGACTCGTTTTCTAGAGAAGGGAGCGTTTCAGGAGAAAGGAACGCCTGTCTATGGTATGTAGACCCAGGCCCACAATACACCGCCATGGAACTGCATTGCATGAGTCCATATTGGCATATAATTCGACCCAATGCTGTACTTTCTGGCCTCCTTTTCCAGAACAGGAGCGGGTCAGGAGAAAGGAAAGCCTGTCCATGGTATGCAGACCCAGGCCGACATACACCGCAATAGAACTGCATTACAGGAGTCCCCATTGGCATAGAATTCAACCCAATGCTGTACTTTCTGGCCTCCTTTTCCAGAGAAAGGAGCGTTTCAGGAGAAAGGAAATCCTGCACATGGTATGCAGAGCCAGGCCCACAATACACTGCCATAAAACTGCATTACAGGAGTCCACATTGGCATATAATTACACCCATTGCTATACTTTCTGGCCTCCTTTTCCAGAGAAGGAGGGAGCGGGTCAGGAGAAAGGGAAGCCAACCCATGGCAAGCCCCTCGCCCAGGCCATAGAACTGCATTGCATGAGTTCACATTGGCATATAATTCAACCCAATGCTGTATTTTCTGGCCTCCTTTTCCAGAGAAGGAAGGGAGCGAGTCAGGAGAAAAGAAAGCCAGCCCACCTACACTGTCATAGAACTGCATTGCATGAATCCACACTGGCATATAATTCAACCCAATGATATATTTTCTGGCCTTTTCCAGAGAAGGAAGGGAGCGAGCTATAGAACTGCATTACAGGAGTCCACATTGGCATATAATTCAACCCAGTGCTGTACTTTCTGACCTCTTTTTCCAGAGAAGGAAGGAAGAGGGTCAGGAGAAAGAAAAGCCAGCCCATGGCAAGCCCCTCGCTCGGGCCAGACCCAGGCCCACATACACTACCATAGAACTGCATTGCAGGAGGAGTCCGCATTGGTATATATAATTCTACCCAGTGCTGTACTTTCTCTCTTCTTTTCCAGAGAAGGAAGGGAGTGGGTCGGGAGAAAGAAAAGGCAGCCCATGGCAAGTCCCTCTCCCGAACCAGATACACTGCCACAGAACTGCATTGCATGAGTCCACATTGGCATACAAGTCAATCCAATGCTGTATTTTCTGGCCTCCTTTTCCAGAGAAGGAAGGGAGCGAGTCAGGAGAAAGGAAAGCAAGCCCACCTACACTGCCACAGAACTGCATTACAGGAGTTCACATTGGCATATAATACAACCCAAAATGTTGTATTTTATGGCCTCCTTTTCCAGAAAAGGAAGAGAGCGATTCAGGAGAAAGGAAAGCCAACCCACGGCAAGCCCCTCGCTTGGGCCAGACCCAGGCCCACCTACACCCTCATTGCAGAAATCCACATTGGCATAGAATTCAATCCAATTCTATATTTCACGGCCTCCTTTTCCTTCCCTTTCCTTTGGGAAAATTACGTGATTGCAACGGCCCATTCTTGCAATCTCCTATGGCTGGTTCTACACTGCCACATAATGTCGTTTGAATCAGCCAGGCCTTGAAGCTGCAAGGCTTTTCAATGCTAATCAAAGGGATTAATTGCAACAACCCAATGCTGTATTTTATGGCCTTATTTTTCCAAAAATGGAAGGGAGCGCTTCAGGAGCAAGAAAAGCCGACCCCCGCCTGGGCCAGACTTAGGCCCACCTACACTGCCATAGAACTGCATTGCAGAAGTCCACATTGGCATATAATTCAACCCAATGCTGTATTTTATGGCCTCCTTTTCCTTCCTTTTCCTTTGGGAAAATTAGTGTCTTGCAGTTTCCCGTGACTGGTTCTAGCCATTTGAATCAGCCAGGCCTTGAAGCTGCAAGGCTTTTAAAAGCTAATCAAGGGATTAATTGCAACATTCACACATGCTTTCAACAGACAAGAGTTCTTTCTCCTACCCTGGACCTTCCACAGATATATAAACCTCCCTCACTTAGTTTCCAATATCCCTCACAATCTCTGGCTGAGAAGGAGACCCCATTTGAGATTGGGATCCACAGTTTATACACAGCGTAAGAGTCATTACTTAAACTGAATTCTTACACAAACCAAATATCCTAGTTGGTTTAGCGCAGGCATAGGCAAACTTAGGCCCACCAGGTGTTTTGGAGTTCAACTCCCACAATTCCTAACAGCCTCAGGCCCTTTCCTCTTTTATTTCCTTTTCAGCTTAAGCAGCTGAGGGATAAAAGGAAGGGGCCTGAGGTTGTTAGGAATTGTGGGAGCTGAAGTCCAAAACACCTGCAGGGAGGTCCTAACTTTGCCTGTGCCTATTTTAGCAGGCTTGATTTCAAAGCAAGATTTGCCAATGAAAAACCAGCCAGAGTCTGTCGCCGGCAGTATATTATTGTAACTTTTGTTTGCATCTTTTCTCTCTGCTCGTTTATTTCCTTCCCTCCTCATTCTGCTCAATACACATATAATTTACAAGCGGAAAATTACATACAGAAACAGAAGCGGATATAAATAGGTAATGGGGAAGAATCTATATGGGGGGGGGGGATATCGGGGCTAGAGAAGGCCATTCCCGGGTGAAGGTGGGCATTGAATTGGGGGGGGGGGGCTGCGAGGGAGAATTTCCCTGTGGATCGTGGCCCTCTCTCCTCTCCCTCTTGGACAGGGTCTAGAGTTAGAAGACTTCCTTTCAAAACAAACGAACACAACGGATTTCTTCTTTCTGTGCTACGTGGACGGGTTTTCAAGGGATCCTTTAACAAGCCATTCTTTGATCCGGCCCAGCCAATGGGACGGTTGACAAACGCCCGAAACCGAGGCCATCCAACATTTCCCCACAAAGCGTGCTCTGTTAGGCGAGGGAAGCAGAAAGAAGGGAGAGAACCCCGCCCCCCCCGGGGGGAAGGGAAACGGGGGTGCTTTGCTTCAAAATCTTCTGAGGTTGGCTCCCTCTATTCTTCAGCAATAGAGGGAGAAGATTTGGAAACGAAACACCCCAATAAAAAAGGATCCAAAGCCATGCTTTATCCAGACCAGATGAAGGTAATGCACACACAACCCCCCCCCCCCCCCCCCGCTTTTCCACTTGGTGGTCTTCAAGGAATCCCTCAACTCAACGCCCACAAAGCAGGGAAAGCCGCGCGCACAAGGCACAAGGCGGGCGGATGTGGGGCGGAGAACGGGGCTGGGGGCTCCGGAGGCAGGGGCCTACTATTACTACTACTACTACTACTCACAGGAGTACTGGATGCTCTCGGTGGTGGCCAGCCAGCGCGTGTAGGGGTTGTCTGCGCTGTCGTAGAAGGGGCTCTTCAGGGGCAGCCCTTGCACCGCGTCCTGCAGGGCGGTCGCCCCCAATACGCCTCCTCCTCCTCCGCTGCCGGCCTTCTTGGGGGGCTCCGAGCCTTCCGTCTCCTCGTCCCCGCCTTCCGCGATGGACCCGTCTTCGTCATTGGTGTCAGGCAAGTCCAAGATGTCCTTCACAGAGAAGCCGGTCTTTGTGTTGGTCAGAGACATATTCCGGCCAATTTGGGAGGCAGGAAACTTTGAAGGAGCAGTTTGCCAATCCTTTTGGGTTCGCCAAACATGCACCGGGGAGAGGGGGAGGGAGGGGGGGAGAAGAAAGAAAGAGGAAGAGGAAGGAAGGAAGGACAAAGAGGAAGGAAAGGAAGAGAGAAAAGGAGAAGGAAGGAGGAAGAAGAAGGAGAAGAGGGGGTTGCAGTGGTGCAAGTGGTTTTTTGGGGGGTGTTTGTGAGAGTCGTGGAGGGGTGGGGGGGCAATATCAGCGTCAGGTCTCTCCTCTGATAATGCCCGTTTTTGGGAGCTTCGTGTGCTCGAACGAAGGGGCGGCGTGGCGTCTCGGCGGCAGGCTTTGTGGACGCGCGGGGACTTGATGTAACTTACAGGGAAAAATGCACAATACTTGGAGTTTATACTTTTTTTACTTGTGCAGAGGTCTGCCCTTTAAGCAGACCAGCGCGCCTACCGACGCCGACAGCTGTCCTCCTTGAAAAAATAATAACAAGCCATTGCCTCGAGACGGGCAGTCCATATAAGGTTGGTCTCCGCACATGAACCTGCCGAGAGGAAGCAGGGAGGGAGGGAGGGAGGGGTCGGTGGGGGTGTGAGGGTGTGGGGGGAGGGAGAGAGAGAGAAATACATTAAAACGAAAAAGGTTGGCCACGTGTGGGCGGGTCTTGGGAGTCAAGTGGATGAAGACAGTGTTTGCAGATGTGAAATTGCGGGGTTGGGGGGGGGGGGAATGCGAGCCTCCACCATTGGTGCTGTAGCACATGATGAGAGGTATAACGTGTCAATTAATTACCAAGATGGGGAGGGCCTTTTCTGCACGGTATTTACATACAAAGGACTCCAAGTAGCCCGATATTCCACATACTTGAAAGTACCGTTTTAACAAATTGCCACCGGGATACCATTCTCCCCTCCTTCCCCCTCCCCCTCCTCCCTCACCCCGAGATCCAGCCCGATTTTGCAATCATTTCCCCCTCAAACCTCCCTTCTTTTGCAGAGAGAAAATGGTCTATTTTGCTGACAAATGGGCGACTCTTCTGCGGTGGTTGGAGCTCCACTCGCCACCTTTAGGAGGAGAGAGGGCTCTTCTAATTATCGGTTGTCACCTAAACAAGATGTGGTTGGGATGGCAAGAGCCCAACTTATGTAAACCTCCTAGGTCAATATTTTGGTTGAGGCTTAAGGATGAGTGCTAGAAATTAAACAGCAAGTAATTGATTCCCGTTTGCTCCGAAATCAGCTAAACGGGCAATAAAGAGGATCATTCAGCTCCTTGATAGAGTCCAACGATTCCCCCCCCCCCCCCCGCTTAATATTTGCACACCACCAATTTATTTCGCTCTTTCTTTTCTGGAGAGACTGATAATGCCCTTTCAGCAAGGCATGCTGCTCTGTGTGGAGGACACCGAGAGGCATTTGGTTTGGTGAGAGAGAGTTTTGGATCTGTTTTAAACTGGAATTTCGAAAAGAAAACCCCAATCTTCCACCACAACACAGGACTTAAAAACCATTTCCTAAAAACAAAACAAAGGCCGCGAATGAGAATTAATTGGATCCCTTTTCAAAAAGGACCTTCCCACCAGAACAAGACGCTCTCCTTACTCAGATTGCACTACAGAGATCCTGGAAGACAATAATTCCTAGCACAGGAGGTCTTAACTTGATCCAAACTTTTTTTTTCCTTTTCCTTTACCGGCTCGTCCGTTCTTCCTTCTTTCCTTCCTTCTTTCCTTTCCCCTGCTTCGTCCACCTCCCTCCCCCACCTCGTGGAGGGAGGGGGCTGCTTTGGTCCCCAGAGATCCACGCCTGGTAGGTCCTTGGTGGATCTCTCTCTCCCCCCCCCCCACTTACCCCATTTTTAAAGCCCCCGAGGCGGAAGGCGAACTGCGGCCACATTGTTTATCTCCGAGGGAATCTGGGTGTGGCGGCGGCGGAGGAGGAAGAGAGGCTGTTTCTGCGGGAAGTGGGGGTGCTCTGAGCCCCGATATTTCTGCTAAGCCCGTGCTGGGTGGAAGGGACTCCTCCTGGGGCCTTCAAAGCCGGCTTTGGAAAAAGAGGCTTTCTAAAAGGGGGGTCGAAAGGGATTGCTTCCCTCCCCCACCCCCCCTTCCTGAAGCCTCCTGACACTTTCGGAGAATTTCCAAATGCTTCACTGAAAGTGTCTGACTTTCTCACAGCCACTTGCAAAGGTGGACAAGTGGAGTCGTCTCCCCTTTTTTGGGGGGGGGGGGCTTTGGAGGGAGGATGTGCGCCTGGGGGTGGGGTGGCCATCTGAGGCGAAGGTCCAGAGCAATTAATGATTGTTGATCAGTTTATTTCTGTGCGTGCGTGGCTGTCCCCCACCCCCTCCCCCCTCCCTGCCCCTCTCCCCATGCCTCCCATGTCGTATGTGATGTGGATGACAATGCCTGGGGCTTGCTCGCTGCCTCTTCTTCTTCTTCTTCTTTCCCCCCTGAAGCAAGTCCCTGAGCGCATCCTGGGTGGTCGGACCGGGGCAAACACAAATACAAACCGATTGCTAAGCTGCGGACAATGGGCGAAATGTAGACAAATGTCCGGCTTCTGTTGGAAGCCTTTGTCCTAGGCCAGGTTTTGCATTTATTTCACTGGCGAAATAATACATGATTGACGCCCTCTTTCAATGTGTTCTAACTGTTTGGAATAAATCTGAGGTTGTTCCTAGTTGTCATGGCATTCAACGCCTTTCAATGGACTATCTCTTCATTCATTTCGGAATCTTGCCACAATATTAAGGAAAACCCCTTCATGTCGATGTTCCCTGGCTCGGCTCTTCCTTTTCTTCGAGCAAAAAAAATACTAAAATAAATGCACCGCTCCCCCCTCCCCCCCCCAAATCCAGTGTGTATGTGTGTACCATCGAGAGGAAGGCGAAAGACTAGGTTTCCCATTGATCTGACTACTTTGCCAAGGAAGGGGATGGGTTAAGCGTGATAAGTTAGAATTTGGCAGCTTTGCAGGAACTATTAAAGATAATAATATAGGTGCCTCTAAAAGGAGGGAGGGGAGGGCTGGGTTTAAAATAAACGAGCTAACTTGAGATAATGCTCCCAAATCATTGAAGGCAGCTCGGCGATGGGGAGGAGGATCTCAAACCACCAGCAGAAAGGATTAAGAGCAGATAATGCAGCAAATAAGTCGGTAAATAAACACATTTACTTAGAGAGTGGCGAGGTGAAGCGACCATTCATTGTTCTTCCACGTTGCAATGAAAATTTAAAGAGGCGGGAGGGAGGGGAGAAGAGGAGATGGGGGGGGGGGAGAAAGAGAATGAGAGGCAGAGAGAGAGAGAGAGAGAAACCTCCCTCCTTTTGGAGCTAAGCCAAGGCGACAAGACTCGCAGTTAAAGAACAAGACTTTAGGAAACGCCAGGCGCTGCACGCAGCTACAGAGAGCAGCAACAAACTACACACTACCACACGCACTCTCTCCCTAAGCTTGCACTGGGGAGGGGAGAGGTGGGAGGAATGTGTGGGGAGGTGTCATCCTTATCTATATAGGCCTTTCTGCTCCTCTTGGGCGCCTCTGCTTTTGTTTCCCGGTGGGATAGATACAGGACTCCTCGCCTGGACCCAAGGGTGACCAAAAGGCTTTCCCTGAACGCCGGGGGAGACATCTCACTTGTTGATCTGTCTCAATAAAGGCCTTCTGGCCCCCTGGGAAGGAGCACCCGCGCCCCGGGCAGCTTCGCTCCCTCCGGCCACCTGATAAGCAAATATTTTCCTAAGGGAAAATCAGGGCTCCCAGGGAACATTAATCAGCCTCCCTTGCGACGCGGGTGACAATGGGCCATTGAGAAGCGCGCACACACCGACTGAGCCACACAGCTGGACTGTGACCAGCCATTCTCCTTTGTACACAAAAGACCTGCAATAAGTCATAATTCCGTTCCCTATCGCCACCGCTTCTCCTCAGCCCCCAACCCCGCCACAGCCTGGACGCAGGGCTCACCTACAAGGTTGCCTTACCTACACTGCAAAGAAGGGGGACTGGGGGAGGGGAGTTGGAGAGGAAAAAAACAGGACTTTCCCTATCTTTCTCTCCTAACGCAGCTAAAACTCCACTTCTTCCTATTTGCTCCAGCACAGAGTGAGCATCAGGGCCTCCTTTCAAAGCAGGTCTCCATGTTGTTTCGGCATTTCTTTGGGGGCATCATACAGTTCACCAAACTTAAGACACATTGGTTGGTAGTTCGGGCCTTCCTTGGCCTTCAGTTCATAGTTTGGATTTATTGTCGGAATCACTGGGTTGTTGTGAGTTTTTGGGACTGTATGGCCATGCTCCAGAAGCATTATCTCCTGACGTTTCGCCTGCATCTATGGCCGGCATCCTCAGAGATTGTGAGGTCTGTTGGAAACTAGGCAAGTGAGGTATGTATGTGTGTGTGTGTGTGTGTGTAGCTATATAAATAAACATGTTATGTTCGTTTGTGGGATTAACATAACTAAAAAACCACAGGTCGAATTTACACCAAATTTGGACACAATACACCTATCAGGCCAACAAGTGACTATCACTCATAAAAACACTAAAACACAGCAGAAGATACTTAAAAAGCCAAAAAACCAAAAAATTACAACGCATGCGCAAAATCACATATATATACACACACAAAACACATATACACAGACTGGGCCACAGCAACGCGTGGCAGGGGACGGTATATATATATACTTGCCTAGTTTCCAACACTTGTTTCAGACAGACCTCGCAACCTCTGAGGATGCCGACCATAGATATGGAATTCCAAATATATGGAATGTCCAGGGTGGGAGAAAGAACTCTTGTCTGCTTGAGGCAAGTGTGAATGTTACAATTGGCCACCTTGATTGGCATTTCATTCTTCCAGGCTTCTGCTTCTGCCACTGCTTCCACTTTTGTGGTCCTCCCCCCCCCCCCCCCCCGCTCGTCCACGCTGAGTCCACACTGCCATATAATCCAGTTTAATGCGGATTTTATACAGCTGTGTGGAAAGGGCCAGAGAATTCCACAGATATATCAACCCCACTTGCCTAGTTTCCAACAGACTTCACAACCTCAGAGGATGCT